TATATATATATATATATATATATATATATATATATATATATATATATATCATGGAGAAAGAAAAGGGAAAAAAAATTGGAGAGACGAGATAGGAGAGAGAGAGGAAGGGTTTTTTTTTTAATTATTTATAATTCATATTAGATTTTATTTTTAATTAATTTTTTATGGTCATTTTTTATATTTATACTATATTATAAAATATTTGATAAAAAGTTTTAAAAATCATTTTTATGCATAAAATATTGTTTATTGATACTTATTACTTTAGATTTAAGATTACAAGTAAATTGTGCGTAAGTACAACTTATTAAAACTTCATGTTTGAATTCGTGTAACTAACTGTAGATAAACATAATCAAATTGAGAATAAATATCTTATTTTAAATATGAAAAATTTAAAATATAATTAGGATAATTATTGAGTTATAACAAAATTCTAAATTATTATCTTTATAAAAAGTTATATTATTAAACCAAAAATAAATTAAAGAAATACCCAAAAAAAAAAGTTAAATAGTTAGTTTGATATCAATATCAATATTTTTTTTTTCAAAATTTTATGATATATCTTCATAGTTATATTTTATTTAAAAATAAAAATATTATTGTTTTATCAAAACCACATAAAACGTATTATAACATCGACTGAAACAAAAATAAAATAAAACGAAACAATAAAATCGAAATATATCTTACTAGTAACCTTCTGGTATCAATAAAATCATTCACCCAATATCTACAAACTCCATCAAGATTCACAACTAATTGACTCAACTTTACAACCATAAATCAAGCTTTTTTGTGTTAAAAAAACATAAGCATAAATATATGTACAAGCATTAATTCACTCTCTAAAACTTCATCTTCAAATGTTTTTTACCCTCCAAATCATGTCATGAACTAACACTGTCATTCCTCAAAATTACAGCAATGCCCATGCTTGACGTCGAATACTCGATCCCTCTTTTGAACCTGTGCTTGAACGTATCATCTCCACGGTTATGGTTTTTGACTGCCATTGGTTCCTGCTCCCCGTCTTTCGCTACAAAGTGCACGCCTTCGCCTTTTCTGGGAACATTTTTCAAATCTTATATATACGATCAAAGTCCGATTACATACGACTCCGCAAAACACTACAACATAATCAACTTTATATGACGTCAAATATGTCTAAATGTCGTAATAAAATGTGTCAATAAAACTTAACAACTACGTCATACGTAGAAGTGTTACAATAAGTTGATAGAATATTTTTTTGGACATCCTAACAAATCATCTAGAACAATTTTGAAATAAAGTGCCCTCTTTATCTTTTTATATGACATTATTTGTGTCTATAAAAAGACAAATAAGACACTTTATTTCAAAAGTATCATAAACAATTTGTTAGGATACCCAAATACATCCGAACATCCTATTGTAACAGAGACACAATTCTTCTGTCCTAAACTTAAGTCCTACGACGCAGCCTATCATGCTATTTAAACAACTTTTCTTTTTTCCAGTTAACCGTGGGTGTCGAGGCTAGTTTGCGTGCACCTTGACTAATCCCAGGGACCTGGAAAACAGGCAGGAAAATCACAATGGCCTTGCTAGACTCAAATTGGTGCTCGGTAAAGAGAATCCCCAAAGGCTCAAGCCTTATTGCCAGTTGAGCTAACCCCACAAGGTTTATTTAGACATCTTTGGTATCCTATAAAACCTATTTTTGTTGTAGTGAAAGTTAAAAACGACTGTAAAACTTACGTGCAAAGAGGATGGTTGGAATCTTTAGAGATGCCTGCTTTCGAGATCTCGACTTTGCAGCTGGTAACGACTTCTTGCCGAGTTTCGGGAGGAAGTTTCATCAAGATATCTGATAAAATCAATCTATGTTGTTTACTAAGTTCATCCAACTCTTTTTGCTGCTCCACCATTATATGCTCAAGTTTCTCCACAATCATACTTACATCAGAAGTTTCTTTGGGTCTCGTATCATCATCATCATCATCATCATCATCATCATCATCATCATCATCATCATCATCATCATCATCGTTGTCGTCGTTGTCGTTGTCATGATGATGATGCAGGATTTCTTCCATGTTTTCAGTTGGGGCATCGTCGCCTGAACCATGGTCGTCACTAGATAAAGCCTCCGGATCTGCATTTTCATCTTCAGAAACATCTGAAGGTATGGGTTGAAGTGGAGAACAACCATTTTTGGGTTCGTCACTCCAATATCTCCGACCAGAAGGTAATCGTTCAAGAGATAAAAATCCAGGAGAAGCACCGGTGGATTTGTTTGTTGACGGGGATGGAGATTCGTATCGAGAGTCAAACGCGGAGTCTTCGGTAGAATCTGGAACTTCATTGGCCTCGTGTTCGTTGGAGTTCACGTTAAGTGCCCAATCTGGAAAACATGATCGAATTTCAGCCTCAATCATCTCAGCGATTGTAGAGACATCTTGATCCGTTAAATCCAGCTCTTCAACCATTTCTCTAGCAACTGCAGTCTGTGTATCAAATTTGATATCGAATGGAAAATGAATATTCCGAACGTGACCTGGCCCACAAGATGAAATCTAATCATTTGTTAAAGTGAAATCCGAAAAAGATGTGAATGTCCGAAATGAACGGATATAAGCAGACCTGTCGTATCTTCTATACGTAGTTTCAGGAATACTGTGTTCGGATCTCTCATTTGACCCTTCAATGTGAAATCCCTAGCAGTATCCGGCATGGTGTCGTTTGTAGTTTCTTCAACGTTGTCAAGGTTCTCGGTGTCACCACCTACAAAGATCCATTAGAAAATAAGGAGACAAGAAAAGAAATAAAAGCCGTTTTTGGCAACCATAAGTTTGCTTATTTTTTGAGCTTATTGAAAAAGTCTTTTTTGGTTGCAGGTTACTTTTTGAAACACTACTTCAAGCATCGCTTCAATAATATCAGGGTTTTCGCTTCCACCTTTTTTTCTTTCCAATTATGTACCTTATATTTTTCCAATTAATTTTTCAACATATTCTTTTAGATTATTTACATCGTCATCTAGCTTATCAACTAGTTTTTACCAAACATGACCAGCTTATCAACTATTTTTACCAAATATGACTAGCTTATCAACTGGTTTTACCAAACATGACTAGCTTATCAACTGGTTTCACCAAACATGTAGCTTATGAGTTAACAACTAGCTTATTAACCAATAGCTAGTTTTTCAGCTAGTTTACCTGGATGGGGATGGGCTTTTGATTGTTTATTTATGTCTTCATGATCCTCGTCTGCATGAAGAAAACGATCCATCAACAATTCCTTGGCGCTTAACCTATCCGAGACCTTGGCAATACACTTCTCAATAAATGACCTGACTTCAGGATCCTTCACTTTTTTTAGTGAAGCTGGCTTGACACCCTAAAAAAAAAGGAAAACGAGATGTTGGTAAAAGCAATTTCACTGAAGCAAGCGGCTGTAAGTCGGTAATATTCAATGGACGTGAACTTTCTGACAGAAACACCATGATGAAATTATCCCTATAGCTCGACACTCAAAGCATGATCATGATTGGACATCCTTTATGACATTAAAGGTGCGTTTGTATGCGAACATGATGGGATGGACGAGAGCGAGATAGGTTGGTGAAAGAATTGTGCTACGTTTTAGGGTCTTAATTTGACGTAGTTTAGTAATTTACCCAATTTGTCACATTTTCCTAATTTTTTTCACCTATTTTGATGGGACACAAACATGTATTTTTCTCCACTCAGTCTTGTCCGTCTAAATGTCACACAAAAGTGGGGACAACAAGTGATCTATAACAGAAGCAGAACTCAAGCAATGGTTAACCTATATCCCAAGCTTTCCTCACTCACATTCTTATCCCATCACCACTTTGAAATTGACCACTGATCTATAACAGTATACAGGAAATTAATGCCAAAAGGCGCAAGCACACACAATCCAACCCACCTTCCGTCATTGATTAAAATTTAATAGATTCACCATCAACATATGGCTATGAAAGCGGAGGAGTAAAGAAGAACTGGTTGCATAAATATTCAGAAAATACGAAATTGACTTGATTAGTTCTAGTGTGGGTGAACCTATTTCAGTAGTGACAAGGAAAGAAAAAGTTTAAGATGATTACAGGTCTGTTGGGCAGATGCAAGAGAGGGAAAATGGTAAAAAGAGAACTTAAACAGGGAAACTCTTGATCCCAAAGGAAATTCCAAAATTACCCATGAACCCAAAAGCAAATTGAAGATGCTGGTAATTTCTAAGGTTAAGATTATTCTAACAAATACAATCTTAACTACATGATCTGGTTATCTGAAAGACTCCAGTTCAACTTCAGAATCCATAACTCCCAGGGTATAGTAAAGAAATCTTATAGCAATGCCAAGGCTCACATTTATGATCAAAAGAGTATGATATCAATATGAGCTTTCGTCAGAGATTTGTACATCTTTTATGCAAAAATATGCATAACCTATATCAAGAAGCTCCACGTATACAGGACAAGTGATGAAATCATGTATAAGAAGAAGTTTTATGATTTGCATTGCTCAAAAAGAGAATCAATGAAAAGCTTGGTGCAATAATGTGAATGTTACAAAATATGTCAATGAAAATTCGGCAAAGAAGGTCTGCTCACATCATAAATAACGAAGACCTTTTATACCAAATGTAATTGCTGTTTAACATTAATAGGGGTTCCTGAGAAAAACAGTAACCCAGTTCTTCTTGATGACTTGATGACCAACTTTGCATTGTTCCACTTTCAAACGTGTACACATCTTACACTATCCTCCAGTAACCCAGACCATAAGCATCTCCATCAGCCTCTCACTTCAAAGTTACAATGATTTCCTGAAGTGAAGCCAACTTGATATTGTCCCAATAATGTGGGTTCTGCTAGATGAAACCCTGAAGCTCCAAGTATCACAGTCCATCTGTGCACTCAGCTTAAAGATGCATTGCTTCTTGGTTTCCAACATTATGCCAAAATATGCTTACTCTACTGTGAGCCCTAAAGAATAATCAATTTGCTTCTCAAAAAATCCACTAATACTGCTAATCTGCCGTGGATGGCGTTTCTGTCAGTTTGGTCCTCCATGTCATATATAAACTTCAATTGAATACTGAATTTACTAGTAAGATGATAATAAGTAATAATTCCCCCTCGATCCACCCAAAAACATATGCAGACATACATACATATATATATATATATATATACACCTTACTTATGGTTGAACTGATTCTATTTTGCACAAGTCATATAGGTAACTTATCAGGCAGCTAAATGGAAAAACAGGATAAATGAAAGATCACTTACTGATGTCACTTTCTTATATATTTGAGCAGCATTGGCACATTCAATATATGGATACTCAAATGTCACCAGTTCAAGTAGGCACATCCCAAAGGCATAGATATCTACAAGTTCATTGTACTCTTCTTCATAAAGCTCAGGTGCCATGAACTCTGGAGTTCCTAGATGTAGAACAACAATTATCATGGATCACTAGCTCTGTTGTATTCATTACAGGTCACAATCAATAAAAATAAGGAAGCACGAAGCTAAAAACCTTGCCCTCACCAATGACACTGTGAGCAGAACGAGCTTGGCGAAGAATCGCAGCTAGTCCAAGGTCACCAATCTTGACCTCTCCTTGATTTCCATTAACAAAAATGTTGTCACACTTGAGGTCGCGATGAATAACCGGAGGATCGTGACTGTGAAGATACAGTAGTCCCTCTAATATTTGTTTAGACCAATTCTTCAATGCTCGCACATCCACATGCTTATGCTTCTTGCGGTACCTACCAAAATTCTAACATGGTCTTAACTACATGTTTATGCTTCTTGAGGTATGGTGAATATGTCTATATTGTGGATACATGACAAAACCATAACTCAACAAGAAAATGGACAGTCAGAAATAAATTAAACATACTGTCTTAATGTGCCAGAGGTGAAAATCTCGGTGATGAAGTTGATATGATCGTTCTTTGCATCAACCCAAGAGTTGTAGAATTTGATAATATTCTTGTGCTTAAGGGTTTTGAGTAAATGAACTTCGGAGTACAGACGCTCCAACTCCTCAGGGTTCCTCAAGAAATCATAAACCTTTATTTGGTTCCAAGCTACTTCAATTCCTTCCAATTCATCAAATGCTCTATATCTAAAATACCCGATACGTGATCAAGGATGTAACAATACCGCCTTGTCTATACTGTTCTACTAAAAAAATAAGTATCAAGTAAATAACTTTTCAAGCAATTATATTTGTCTTTTTGTGGCAAACAAACCATCTTTGCAAGAATGAACAATATTAAGGGCCGTTTACCAAACGCTTACCCAGGTAAGTGCTTACCAAGTCATATTACCTTAGCGGATGAATATGGTATGGACCAAGAATCTTACCCGGTAAGAGCGAGATGGGGACCAAGAGTCTTACCCGATAAGTGAGGACGACAACTCAGTAAGCGCTTACCGGGTAAATTGTTAGTTACGTTGCTGTTTTGATGGACTAAAATCTTACCCGGTAAGTAAATGATAGTGTTAAATTTTACCAGTAAGCGCTTACCGGCTAAGTGTTTGGTAAACGGCCCCTTAGATATAGGATCGTTGGCATTTACTTTTGCACACTTTGTCCCAAATTGCTGCTTTCTGCAAACTATAGTGTTTTTTTGGTATCTTTACAAGAACAATGGTTAATTAGCAATAAAAACTAAGTGCTTCTGGTTCAAATAACTCAGACTACTATTCCCTCGTGTACCCAAAAAAAGGAGCTAAACTTTGAATTTGGATGTCAAACCTGCTGATTTCAATAAGAAATAGTAAAAACTTGATATCAATTATGAAGTTGACAGTGGTATAACATCCAATGTCGAAAGGCAGCGTAGGTTTTTATCTGGAATGGAGAAGAAAAATTTAAAATAGGATACACCTTTTTGCAAGCCCCCTTTCCTAACACTTCTTTGTACTGCAAAATATACCAACATAATCATCTGAGCAGCAACATACATACACACACACACACACACATATATATATATATATATATATCCAACAAACGTAAATCAAAATATTTTTTTTTTTGCCTAATCGTAGAATTTGAAGTCCGACACGTACTAACCCGTCCATAACGACCAGAAGGATCGACCTCAACGAATTCAGAATCGGAATCTTCCACTTCGTGGTCTGACGAAGATTCCAATGGCATTTCTATAAGATTTGTTGAAATCCTAACTATTGCGGACAATAAAACCAGATCAACTCCTCCAAAATATAGACGTAATTAGTGTTTATAGATACAATTGTGATCGGCGAAAGTTTTTCCGCTGAGTCTCCGGTGAGTCGGTTGCGAATGAGGGTTTGGAAACAGAGAAAGATGGTGAAATGCAGGTGAAGAGGTTGAAGAAGAAGAAGGAAGTCGTTAGAGAACCAGAAGCGGCGGAGGAATCAACTGAATTCTTTTTCCTTTTCAACTATACAGCAAAATAATAATAAGAGTAAACACAAACTTGGTCCTTGTGGTTTTCCAAAATAACATTGTTTGCCCCTGTAGTTTTAAAATTATAAAATAATTATCATGATTTGCAAAATTTCTTAAATTAATCCATTCCCTTGATGGCCGTTAGAAAATTCGTTACATGAGGGGAACTTTCATCCTTCGATCAAATGGACCAATATTAAAAAATAAATTTCAATTCAATAAAAGACAAAAGAAATATATAGAAATAAGAATATTGCTTCTTATTTAACTGAATTTTTTTAACAGCCATTAAAGACAAGGACTATACATAAATGTTTTTATAAACTATGATGTTTATATTGTAATTTTAAAATTGTAAGGACTAAAAGTATTATTTTTGACAAACTACAAAGAACGAATTTGTGTTTACTCTCGCAATCTATATGTATTTAATAAAAACTTTTAAAAATAATTTTTTTTTATGTATTAAGTATCTATACTATATTATAAAACATTTGATAAAAACTCTTAAAAACCATTTTTTATGCATGAAGTATTGTATATTGATGCATATTATTTAAAATTCAAGATTAGAAGTAACTATGCATAAGTACAACTTATTAAAGCTACATGTTTGAATCCGTCTAACTAACTGCGGATAAACATAATCAAATAAAAGATAAACATCTCATGTTAAAATATAAAAAATATAAAATATAATTAAGATAATTATCGAGTTCTAACAAAATAATTAATTATTATCTTTATAAGAAAATTATATTATTAAACCAAATATAAATTACTTCGTTATTGAACATAAGTTAAATTATAATAAAAAAATTGAATTAAAAAATTACACAAAAAATAAGAATTTTAAATAGTTAATTTGATACTAATATCGATATATTTTTGTCAAATTTTTATGATATCTTCAAGTTTATATTTATTCAAAAATAAAAAACATTATCGTTTTTTCAAAATTACATAAGACCATACTATAATATCGACTGAGATAAATAATATAATGAAATATTAAAATCAAGATGTATCTCGCTGCATTGCGCGAGTACTCTTCTAGTTGTTTATTAATGCATATTATTTAAAATTCAAGATAGCAAGTAAAATTATGTGATTGTATAACTTATTAAAACTCAATGTTTGAATTCATGTAACTAACTGCGGATAAACATAATCAAATATTAAATAAGTATCTTATCTTAAATATAAAAAAAATCTAAAACATATTTAGGATAATCATTAAATTCTAACAAAATACTAATTATTATCTTTATAAAAATTATATTATTAAACCAAAAATAAATAACTTCAGTATTAAATCTAAATTAAATTATAATAGAAAAGTGAATTACAGGAATTACAAAAAAGCAAGAACTTTTAAATATTTAATTTGTACTATCGATACAATTTTTTTTATAAATTTTATGATATCTTCAAATTTATATTTTATTCAAAATATAAAAACTTATCGTTTTCTCAGTACCACATAAAATCGTGTTATAATATCGACATGTATAAAATAAAACGAAACATTAAATTCGAGATCTCTCATTGCATTGTGCGAATACCCTTCCAGTAATAATAATATTACAACAAAAACTAGCTTTTCAAAATAAATTATTAAATATTAGATTTGGTGCAAACATCATTTATTTGTTTGTATTATTTGTTAGAGTTTTTATACTTAAATATATATATATATATATATATATATATATATAATGTTCTGTTTTAGTGTTTTTATTGTTTGTATTAAATTAGGGATCATTTACTAAATACTTACTGGGTAAACGTTTACCAGCAAGAGACTTCACCTTTTTATCATATCATGTAAATTTCTTAGTCATCAAAATAGATTGTTGGTAAGCACCTTAAACTCGATAAGAGCTTACTGGATAAGACTTTCGATCATTGTCATATTCAATCGGTAAAGTAAGTAATATCAGTAAGCACTTATTGAATAAGTGTTTAGTAAACGACCTCTTATTCATTTAGCATAATCATCTTCAAACATACAAAATAATCACAAATGATTAATACAACTTGAAAAGAATAAACACATATTCAGATGCTATCTCTTACAACACGTCTTTAAACAGCTATATAAATCATTTTTAATTAAATATAATATATGAATAAATTAATAAAATACCATCTATTTATTCATTAAAATAAAATAAAGAAAAACTAGCAAACGACCTTTGGTTCAAATCAATAGATGCATATTTCTTTTAAATTTTATATTAATTTATACATTTTATATTTTTTTTTACTGAGGTCTTATTTGTTTTTTTCACTTTCAGTTTAATTATCACTTATGTCTGATTCATTCAGATATTTTGTAATTTAGATTGTTTGTTTTTTATTTATTTTCAGAGTCTCTTATCACTTAATATGGTCTGAATAAATAAGAGGTAAATTAATATTTTAACTCCTCTTATTTCCCTTTTTCTTTGATTCCTTTTGCCTATTGCTTTTTTTCTCTATCAGGAACGTCATCGTCCTTTCATCACCCATATGAAATCCACTCCCCACCCCCTCTCTCTCCCTCCATATACATATATATATCGTATCGGAAGTCTGAAAGATATCTAAAAGGTTCTTATTGTGTTCCATCTGTTAAGCAATTGTTGAAATGAATTTCGGCAATGGAAATTTTATGAAAATCAAGAGAATTTTACAAAATGTTTGCACCTGATTTTACAAAAACAAACTATTGATTAAGATTTCAAACTTCAGACGTTTGTCGGTTTATAAAAAACAAACAGTCTTATTAATCTAGATTTCATACTTCAGCATCATCTTTTATTAATCAGAAATGAAATAAGACTTCAGACTTAATCATCTTTTAAAAAACAAACGTCACCTAAATAAAATTAATGAGATGACATTTAATATCATCACGATTTATAATGAGATATAAAAGAAGATAAATCCAATATTATCACATTTTGATATACTTTGATATACATTTTTAGGTCAAATTGCATGAAAAAATAACGTATTTTAACTTGATTTTTATTAATCAGTTATCATGCTGATGCGGCGAGTGGTATGGTATCCAACTCAATATTATTTGCTGACGTGGTTAGTGACATGGATTTTTTTAATTTAAAATTAGTCTTTTTTTTAATCTAAAATTAGTATTCAACTGGTTACTCGAATATTTAAATGTTTAAAACTTTACATCTTCGATACCAAAATGAAAATTCTAAAAGTACGTTATTCAAAATAATAATCAAGTTAAAGTACATTATTTTTTCATGCAAGTTTATCTTATTTTTTTTTATTAATAATGAAATGAAAAATTACAGTATAACCCTTTTCCTTTTTCTTTTCTAATATTTAAAAACACCAATTCATTAAAAGAATTAATTAATTAGATTATTTTTATATTTAAAAATATTAAAAAAAATATATTACTTACAAACGTTGAATAAGCGTTTGTTTATTGATTATTAAATATTTAAAATATACCTATATATATATATATATATATATATGCAACTTGTATATTATTTTCCATTTAAATAATAATTTATTAACATATTTATCAATTTCATTCATTACAATTCGTGGGGTGTGATCTTGATAAGAAAACACGTATAGATAAAAACCAAACGAACCCATTAACTTTCACTGATAGAACAAAAATGAGATTTCAAGAGAGTAAATCTTTGCTCAGAAAGTAGCGGTGTGTAAAAAACCATCCGATCCAATTTAAGACGATCAATCCAATGTGAACCAACCAACTGTATGTAATTTGATATCTAATTATAACTGGATCGGATCCAAAATTTCAATATCCATATATAATAAAACTAAACCGATTCAATTCACTTTAGCAGGTCTCTGACATGCTTTGATCGATCCCATTTTGATTTCGAGAGAAGAGCATTTTTTTCGGGAAGAAAAAGTTCCAAACACGAATTAAATTCCATGAAGAAGGAGGGTTTCATGAGATTTCAATCGAGTTCAAGAACAAAAACAAATCAAGTGCATGTTAGCTTAATGAGTTTAGCATGACTCAAAATGACTGTTTCATAGTGACTTAATGATACAAAAAGTGACTTACTTATCTATAAAAAAAACCATCCAAAACAAAAACATTTTCGATCCATACAGACAGATTAACCATACAGGACTTAACCAAACAGGTCGATAATTGAGAAATGGAGATAAGAATCGATGGTGTTGTGATGATTCTTGTGAAGCATCTGCAATGGAAATTTGGAGGTAATGAATCAATCGATTTGAAATGGAAGAAAGTGAAGATTGAAGTTAATTTGGATGTTCATGATTGGCTTTTTAACCTTGGTTTAAAGCATGCATTGTTTATTATGAAACCAATACCTCCGGCCGCCGCATCGCTGCCACCACCTCCGGCAGCATCGTGGCCATCTCCGCCAGGGGTTTGTGGTTTAGTACAAGGGTTTAATCCCATTTGTTCATGAGTTTTGCCTCTTTCTCTATGCTTGGAAGGTCGAGTAGTTTTAATTTAGAAAATATCAATCAAATAAGAAAATAAGTAAAACAGTAGAATCACATCATTTTACATTAAAATCACATGATCATTATAGATATATAGATTGAAAACAGAATATATATATATATATATATATATATATATATGTGTGTGTGTGTGTGTGTTTGTGTGTGATGCCCTCTGACGAATAGATTAGTTGGTAAATGGACGAAACGACTTTACTCAAATATACAATATATATGTTCAAGTATAAATTTTGTACAGGGCAGGCTTGAACCCAGCCTTAGCTGCTAAGTCAACTCTGAAATACCTCATCACATATGGTTCTTAGGAGACGGTCGTCGTCGAGGTTGTCGGTAATCTTAAGATGAGGTTTCCAAAAATTATTATTTTTATTTGGTTGATTAATCTTTAAGAAAAAATCCAAAAAAACCCAATGAAATGAACTATTGAATTTTCGATTTCAGATGATTAAGTTCCCGAACTTTTTTGATTAACTAAACCATCAAGCTTTTAGAAGTTGATTATCTACATTATTTTAACGAGAACTAAACATATTTAAGAGAATAGAAAAACGGTCGAATCACATATGATTTTACCCCAACATCACGTACAAAATCACATATGATTCACGCGACTTTGTCCTGTGACTCGAAGACGCAGTCAAAGTCGCCCACACAACTTTTTTGGGCCATTAATATAAAATCACACGTGATTTTGCCGATTTCATACTCTCTTCAATAGTTAGCATTCTTATTTGACCCTCCTTACATATAGGGACAAGTTTAAACGAGAAGTTAAACATTTTACGAGAAACCAAAAAGTTTTAATATGAAGTATGATTACATGCATGATACACAAGCTTAATCATATACGTTTAAACACATGTTGCATTGCCATACTTAATATTAAAACACTTCACCTTCTTACAAAATATTCAAGGGTGTTTGGTATTGTTTATTTAAAACAATTTATGTTTTTTTTTTATAAAAGTGTTTATCAACTTATGTAGAAGCAAATTAGAGTTTTATAAAAAGTGTTTGGATTAGCTTATGGCGGTACTAATAAGTTTTGGAGCAATCTTAGGAATCGAATCGATACTCTGATAAGTGGATCTGAATTGATTACTATAGATTTTTGTTTTTAGGGTTTTCATTTTCAACATCGATTTTGGGAAATTTTGAGGAATCGTTCTAAACGATTGAAGGAAGATTCGTTGCTTTTGTTAGGAGGATTTAATTCTATAATGAGGGTTAGAAAAGGGTTGAAAAGTTCATTTGGTTTCTAAATCTAATAAGTTGAATTTGATAAGTTAAAAGGGAATAACTTATCAAAAACTCTTTATTACCGATTTAACATCAATATAAGCTATTATTTTTCCATCCAAACACTAAAAACTGCTTATTATTGTAATACACCAGAATAAGTCAATAATCAGTTTTAATAAGCATCCCAAACACCCCTTATCCTTCGTATGTTATATGAAACAACAAACAAATAGTTTGTACCATTTATTAGCTTTTGTAAATGAACATCCAAAGTGGGTTCATGTGAGACAAAAATATTTTCGTGAGACACGTGAGACCACTTTCATATACTTGAAACTTAACAACAAAACACTGTGAAGATAAAAAAATCTGAACTTTCACAACAAAAACACTGCGAAGTTACCTTGCCAGTGTTTTGCTGTAAATCTGTAAGTGTAAAAAAATGGTTTCACCCGGTGTAATTTGTATGATATATATATATATATATATATATATATATAGAGAGAGAGAGAGAGAGAGAGAGAGATTGTGGTTGTCGGAAAGCCGGCCAGGCCTAGTCCTAGTCCCGTTCTTAAATCAAATTTTGGAAATTCATTTCTTGAATTTCATCTTCTTCGTTCACAATCACACCTGCAACAATGGCGGACTCCTTCCCTTTCTTTCTCACCCTTCTTCTCTTTTCCTTCATAAAGCCCATGCTTTCTGTACAACCATACGACCCAACACCCTGCATCACCTCCACGGACCTCCGCCATGGCTCCACCTACATCTGCACCTCCACCACCACCAAAACCTGCAACACTTTTCTCGTCTACAGACCTCAATTCAATCAATCTCTTTCCGCTATTGCTACCCTTTTTAACCTCAATCAATCTCAACTCCACCAAGCCCAAGAAGTCATCGTCCCGATCATCTGCGATTGCCCCGACTCCTCCTCTCGAGCCATCGCCAGTTACTCGAACCTTGACTTGTATACGGTTCGAGATATCGCTTGCGGAGTCTACCAAGGGATGGTGAACCCGCAGGTTGTGGCGCAACAGAACGCCAACAACCACGAGCCGAATAAGGTGGTTAAGGTGCCGGTTAAGTGTGCGTGTACCGATTCGTCGCACGAAACAACAGGCACGAAGTATCTCGTGACATATCCGGTGATGGACAACGACACGATTGATATGATTGCATGGAAATTTGGGGTGACACAAGCGTCGATTCAGGAAGCGAACGGGTTGGGCCCGAAGCAAACGATTTTTGGGGGCACCACGTTGTTGGTGCCAACAACGGGTGTCCCAGTGTTGAACTTGGAAAAAGTGGTCAACAATCCAAGTCCTCAAGACACCATTCCTGTTAACGGAATCTCGAAACGTAGTACTGGAAGCAGTCTTCTGCTTCCAGTTCTGATCGTTTTAGGGATAATTTCTCTATTCGGTGTAGTTTCGTTTCTTGTTTTCCTTAAGTGGAAATACGGTCACCGTGAACGACCATTGGAGTCCATAACGGGATCGGAGTTTAGACGTTTCTCGCCGGATTTTATCGATGGCATCTCGAAGTTGAAACACATTTTAACAAGTTTCGACTTAGACGAGCTTAGACTCGCTACACAAGACTTCTCAGAAAGTTCGTTCATTGGGAAATCCGTCTACAAAGGTCGAATTACAACCGGTTTTTACGTCGTGATTGAAGACATGGGCTCGATCGAATCGGCTCATCGTGTCATCCACATCTTAACGAAAATCAATCATTTCAATGTGGTTAAGCTCGAAGGATGTTGTTTCGAAATGAACCAGTCGTTTCTAGTGTTCGAATTCGCCCAAAACGGTAGCTTACGAGACTGTTTAAACGACCCGAAAACAAGAAAAAAGTTGACATGGCCAAAACGAGTGAAGATCGCGTTTGATGTCGCCGAAGCGTTGCACTACATACATTCGTGCACAAAGCCGACTTACGTTCATCGAAACATAAGCACCAGAAACGTGCTGATAACAATGGATTGGAGAGCGAAAATCACGGGGTTTAACCTTGCAGTACCTATCATCTATACCGCCAGCGGTAGGGATTGGACGGAAAAAAAAGGGTATTTATCGCCGGAATATCTCGACCATGGGCGGGTTTCAACTAAGGTGGATGTGTACGCTTACGGGGTCGTTTTGTTGGAGCTTTTATCAGCAAAAGAGGCGGCCACCGGGCGGAAGTGGTCGGAGGATGTCGGATTTCTGGCCGACGGTGAGGTCGCCGGAGACTCTCCGGGGTGTTTGGAGAAATTTAAGGTGTTTATGGATGCAGATTTGGAAGGTGAGTATGATTTGGGGGATGCAATGTGTTTAACACTTTTGGCCAAATGTTGCATACTTGATGACCCTCAAAATAGGCCTACTATGAATGATGTTCTCAAGGCTCTTTCAAAAATCTTATGAAAAACGAGATATTATTTGGGTTATCAGTAGATCTCAACCTTTTTGGATGTCAGGGGTTTAAACCTTATTAAATACGAGAAATATGCATTTTGTTATCTGTATTTAGCGTATATAAATATTAAAGAAAAAAAGAATCTTATGAAGACTGGGACCTAATCGGTTTAAGATGAATTCAAGGGTTTACGTTTGAATTTTGACGTGCGTTTTGTCTGTAAAATCGACGGAAAAAGTTTACGGTTTTGGGGTATGGTAATCGAGATCTACAAAGAGTATTGGCTTTCGCCTGTATATATGATTCTGGGAATTCGGAACGTCTGTTTGAGTTGGGATGTTAACGAGATAAATAGATTTTTTTTTTCAGTCTTGAAATCAATTTGGTTTGTATTACAAGTTCTTGTTTTTAATTACCACACGGTATTCGACGTGTCTTCTCAGGATTTAGCAAATTGCGATATCTACTTTTTATGAATTTACTATTGATAAAGTAACATTTCATCAAGTTGTTAAAGTACTACTTGTCAAATGCTGACGTGGAAGTACCACTTACACAACTTATTAAAATGGTTAAAGTGGTACTTGTCACGTCAGTATTTCACAAGTCACATTTTAGCAACTTGCAATATCCGCTTTTCATGAAATTAGTATTCGCAAAGTAATATTTTAGCAAATCGCTAAAGTGGCTAAAATGCTACGTATTCAACTTGTTAAATTGTTGCTTGTCACGTCAGTATTTCACAAATAGCACTTTAACAACTTGCTAAAATGTTACTTTATGAATAATAATTTCATAAAAATAAGATTTCATAAGTTGTTAAAGTGCTACTTGCAAAATTTTGACTGATTTCAATCAATTAAATAAAAAAACAGCTGTAAAATGAATTGAAATTGGATCCAAATGTTGATTTTGGACTATTTCACTGATATTTTGGTCGTTGTCATCCTTGGTGTGTGACATTGGCCGTCCTTAGGGTTAAAAAGGATCTCATGCCAAGTGTAGCTGCATACAAGTTTCAAGTGTTCTTATCAAGCATAGCATTCAATCGTGTTAAATTATGTATTAAAAATATGAAAAAAAATGAGTTTTAATATTAACATGTAGGAAGAAATTAGTGGTAACTTTAGCGATATGTGAGTCTTTTGATCTCCTAAGAGGTCAAGGGTCCAAACCTCACCAAAGGTGAGAAGGATGTATAAGGGCGATCTCTTACTCGATAAGCGCTTACGCATATTATACAATATTAATGGACTAAAATCTTACCTAGTACGTTAAGTTAAAGCATCGACCCTTACGTTGGATAAACTGCTCGTTACTCAATAGGTCGATTCCAATTTGAAAAATGTATTCTACTTCCCAATTGACACAATTCACTTCTCCCTAGAAACCGTGCCGACTTTTCCACATCATCAAATCACAACTTTACAGACATTTAATCTACCAAAAAACTAGATTCGGACTTTTATCTACCAAAATAAATGGGAATGAAGTTGTAAAGAAACAAGGCAAGTTCAATATATCTCAAAATGCATGAATCCATTTGAATAAATATCATAAATCTTCAACCATCTCAAAGATCTTTTTTAGTAGCAACTGGTCAGCTTGTAGCATTGACCATACATCATTCACATTTGCCATCGGAAAAAAACACGACCGGACTCGAAAGAAATTGCAAGCGAATGAAAAAAGGTAACAGAGGGAATCCCAAAAAGGGTCGATATCTACAGGAGAAAAGAGATGAAAGAGTGTGTATCAATCTAGTAGCGCCTAAGATGATCACGGGTAAAAAACGGATGTCTTAAAGCTTCACGTGCCGTTAACCTCTCCGAAGGATCGTATCTCATAAGCCCCTGCAACACTTGGATCAACTCCCCAGCCGAATGATCTACATGCTGCATGATTAAATTCTGCAAAAAAAATCATCAACTATGGTGAGGTTTGAACCCTTGACCTACAAACTAGGCTCTACTGTTAAACAGGGTATAGCTAGGTCAATGACCCATTGGGAATTACTATGGTGGGTACAGTGGCTTCGTTCCTCCATCATAGTGTGAAAAGTGACACCGTATTATTTTGTTGGGTGCAACCATATATTACTTGAAACTACAATGATAACACAAATTTCTCTTGGTAGAGTTGGTTTGCACGATCTTTTCTCCCTTCCGGGCACGGGTCCAAAACCCATTTGTATCATTTTCTTAGTTTTTAGCTTTTTATTTCAGATTTATTATTTTTCTGAATTTTTTTGGGATAAAAGACTCAAACAGAGACCTCACATACAAAAAAAACAAGGAATCAACCAACAGACCAATAATGATTATGTAAAAAATATCCATATTTTCTTTTTTTTTTATAGTCAAATGATGCCACCGCTTGAAAACGTTTCTATAGACGAGTAAAATCTGTACCTGAAGTCGAGGCAGTTTCGCAACAGCTTTTAGGCTTTCTCTCGAGGTAGCACCCTGAGGCCAGTCCAACCGACCCTTTCTAACATACTTTTCTGCATGCCGACTGCAACATATATATGGTGAGTGGGTGGTAAGTAAGATTAGCTACATTTATATAGAAAATTATTACGAAAAAGGATATCAAGGAATACTCACTCCGCTTTCCGTAACATGTGCTGAGGTAAGAAGCCAAGCACCCTTTCCATCATAGCAAGATGTTCGAGATTCTCGTGTGTTTGAAACAAAGCTTCACCCTGTTCCAAAGTGCAACGGTCAAAACAAGCCTCAACACACTACAACAAAACGGCTTTATAGAACACCAATGATGTCTAAATGTCCTATTAGACCATTATATACGACTTAAGCTTATATGACCAAACAAGTGTGTACTATATAAAGATGTTAGACTGGGATGTTATGACGTATTTTAGCATCCTAACAAGTTTTTTAGGACAGTTTGAAAATAAATAGTCCCAAGTTTTTTTGAATGAGGCTTTTTATAGGACATTTTTTTATAAGACATTTTTTTCAAATTATGTCATTAAAAAGACTAATAGGAAGCTTTATTTCAAACTTATCCCAAAAAACTTGTTAGGGCATCCCTATAAACTAATTGTAACACCTTTTACATAGGATGCACAATTGTTTGGCCCTATAAACTTAAGTAATATAAAGCAGTCTATTAGGACACTTAGGGGTTGTTTGGTTGGTTTTCCATTAAGACCTATATGGATAAAGTTGTATGTATAAATTGAGAAGATTTTTGTTTGGGAGCGATTTTTCATTGGTGGACGGAGCGTTTTTTTTAATTGTAAGAGATAGGTTTGGGAAAAAAAAACATGGTTTTCTGCATAAAGCCCCCCCCCCCCCCTAAAAGCTTACTGAATAAGCCACTTTCTATATCATTACGCCGCTACCAAACAATCATGTTTAGTTGACCAAATAAGTTGTGAGTCCCATTAAGCTCATTAAGTTGCTAACAGACAGGCCCTTAAGACATATTTGGTGTCCTAAAGAGCCATTTTTTGTTGTAGTGACAACAATGCTATTAAAAAGCATGGGAGGATCAAGATCAAACTTACAGAGCAAAGCTCCACCAGGATACAACCAACACTCCATATATCACAAGGATAACTCCATCCGAGCCCTGTATGAAACGCAGGCCAAATAGCAATTACACACATCTGATAAAAAAGGAAGAGAGGCCAAGTATGCATAGCAAAATCAAAGTAAACAAAGTTGGTACCTAATATAACTTCTGGTGCACGATAATGACGTGTTGACACTATGTAGCTCTGGTCCTGACGATCATATGTTGTGCTGCCAAAATCGATCACTTTGACCGCACTGCACTTGGGGACTCTTTTGGAGTAAGAACTATCCTTCGGTGACCTTGATGAACCCTAATACAACAAATTGAAGCCCCGTTAAAGCCATCAAAATCCCCATCCGCTGCCACCATATAAACCAAGGTCACGCGTTTGGTTTGACAGAATGTTTAGAGGGATTTGAACTTCATGGAAAGATTTGGAATTGGAAGGATTTGAAATCTTTGGTGTGTTCGGTTTGAAGGATTTAGAAAGAAATTGAATTCCATACTTTAATATAATTTATAGAAACAAATTATAAGAAGTTAATTTTTTTTAATTAAATTACCTTTTTAATGGTTGATTATTACAAACAAGAGTTTTAAACATATTTTGGATCATTAATATAAACAAATCCTATGAAATCCCGCAAAATGCCAGCTACCCCATGGGATTCATAAATCTCATGTTTGTGGGATTTCAAATCAAGGATTCCTTCAAATCAAACATTGGATTGAAATGGAATTCATTCCAAATCCTATCAGATCCCAAAAACCAAAAGGTACCTAACTGTTAGTACCTTGTAATCAGGCACTCTGATATACTCCGGAGATGCTAGAAGAATGTTCTCCGGCTTCAAGTCGGTGTGTATTAAGCGTAGATCATGCATAACTGCAATATATTTTAAGCAACGAGTGTCAAAAACAGTATAACTTATAATCGACATACAACTTCAGACAGAAAGACGTTTGCTTTTTGCTAACAAAAGCAAGAAAGTACAGCAGTCGTTGCTCGCTCTTGTTACAATACAGCAAGCAAAAGTTATACAGACAGAAATAAGCCGAATATTATAGATGTAAAGGAAAATAGCATAAGTGATTATTACACACATGCTATACATTCCAAGAGTTGTCTGCCAATCTCACGAACTAGGTCTATGGGAAATGAGCGATAATTGTTTTTGCGTAGAAAATCATATAAACTTGGTCCAAGCTTCTCAAAAACCTGTTGAAAACCATTTGAATGCATCGAGATATCTTAAACCCGAAAGCATTTGTCAAGCAGGGGAAAGAAATCCACCATATCAATCATATTGTACTTACAATACAGATATGGTTACGATAGTCAAACCAGTTCCTTATTTGTACACAACTGCAAGGAATAAACCAATTATAACAACAACAAAAACCATAACACAACCACGATATTCAAATACACACTACAGCAAAATTAGGTTTATAGTACGCCTAAAATCTCTAAGCGTTCCTAATAGAATACTTTATAAAACTTAAGTTTATAGGACCAAACTATAAAGTGTCCTTTCTGAAAGTGCTACAACATATTTAAAGGACAGCTTTGGGCATTTTAACAAGTTTTTTAGGATGCTTTTAAAATAAAGTGTCGTATTAGGTATTTCATAAGACACTTGTTCACACAGTGTCTTATAAAATAACTAACAAGACACTTTATTTTCAAAGCGTCCTAAAACACTTGTTAAAATGCCCACAAGTGTCTTATAAACCTATTGGAACACTTTTAGACATGAGGCTTTTTTGTTTGGTCCTATAAAGCATTTTATTAGGACGTTTAGATATTTTAGGTGCCCTATAAGCCTTACATTGTTGTAGTGATAGTATTGCCAAAGCCAATTTGGTTTGTCACTCACCGATTGCCACCTTTATCATGTTTACGAAGTTGTTGGAGCACATCAATCTCGATCATAGCCGCCTCACGATATTTCTTTATACCACGAACAATTTTTATGGCAACCATTTCATTGTTTTCTTTGTCCCAGCATTCCAACACTTGCCCAAATGTGCCTGAATTAAACACATATATGAACCATATACTTCAATTATCAATACTTTGTTAATTACCTACAATATTAGTTACTTGATAGATGATTCTCACCTTCTCCCATTTTCCCATGAATCTTATCTGCGGGGAAACAAAGGAAAAAGAAAAACGAATCAGTACCATATAGACATTATAGCATAAACATCAACAAGCTACAAAAGTTTCACAACACACTACAAGGACGAATAAAAACTAATGAACCATTGAGATTTCAAAATTAGTTTATACTTTATTAGTAAAAACAAAGGTTCTAAATGGTGTGAGACGTGGTGCGGCGGTGAGGCCAAGCCTCAAGCTTTAGGAGCCACGGCATTTTTCAAGGTGTGACTTACGGCAAATTTCTATATCATATATGATATTATATAAATACGAACATATGTGTTTCTACTATTACTCAATGATATTTAAACAATTTAAATTAGGTTATGTATATCAAAAAATAACAAGTAAGAAATTAAAAAAGTAAGAAAACTCAAATATCAGTTACAAAAACGGCACATTAGGCCATGGCGTGCCACAGCCATAACGTGGCTCAGACACAAGCCTTGAGCCATCGGCGCATCACAACAGTAGTTGAGGCGAGCCTTTAAACACAGGTAAAAACGATCGGTTCCTATTCAAAAGCATCATACAGTCGGTAAAATTCTAGATGGCCAAACCAAATAAGTGAAAAGGTATAAAAATAATACCCGACTAGTACTATCATCAGAAACCGATATAAAAAAATTATTTGATGGTGGTAAAGGGTAGTTACAGCGAGAAGTTAAATTATCTCCAAGTGCAAACATATAATGCCCATCTTTATCGTCTTCGCGCCATGGGGGAGAACCATCGCGAGCCACACGCTTAACAAGAGATGAACTATTATGGTCTTGGGGTACCCGCGAAGGTGCAAAGCTGGTCACATTTCCAACCTCTTGTCCACAAAACAATCCTAGCTGAGCCTACACACAGGCATCCATTCATGTTCCTTTCAATACACGTTATTAACTTTTCTTTGCCAGTATGATTTTGATAAACTAACATTGTAAGCCAATGCTAAAACAAAAAAACCAAAGCCAATATTTCATAACCATAATCAAACCATCGTTTATCAATACAAATAACAATCCATGGATCTCCAACGACTCCATATTCACAATTCTTAAGGCAACTTATCCAAAAAAGATGATCTTGCCAAAAGTCACTTAAAATAGGGGTTCAGCTCACATGTAAAAATTGAGGGAGATTATCCCGAAACAAGACTTCTTATTTTTGATCTAATTGAATACCGATTCGTTCAATATGTAATTTCAATTTTTAGTCGGATAGCTATGATTTCTTCTAGATTTTCTTTTTGAAGTATATAATATTTATATACGGCAAATAGAACAAATAAACTCACTCACTCTCGGTGAGGTTTGAAGCCTTGACCTCCTAGAAGGCCAACGACTAACATACCGCTAGGCCAAAGCCCCTTTGGTGATTTCTTCTAGATTTCAGTCACTTGTATCATAACTAAGGTTTGGGAGAAATTTGGTATACCATTTCTGAGGGAGAAACTTTCGAATCCATTGCCATAAAAAAAGCTCGAAGGCAGTAAAGATCACAGATACGATACAAAGCACGGTATACCAAATTTCACCCAAACCTTAGTTCGCTTTGACAAACTACAAAAAAATAATCATACTTACCGATCAAAAAAATCAAGTTAGGAATCTAGAAGGAATAATACCTATTATCTGACTAAAACTTGAAATCACATATTGAACAAATCCGTATTCAATTAGATTAAAACCAGAAGCCATGTTTTACCCTTACCTGGTCAACGATTCAAATTCTGATAAGATCTAGCAAAACAGAGAGAAACAAAAACCCAAACAATTAGAGAAATATGAAGAAAACCAACCGTATCTCTTACCTTAGTCACCGGATGAACAGCGTCCCAGCCAAGTCGCTGCCGTTTTCTCGGTCGGAGATCAACATTACTCATCGGAAACTCTGTAACACGCTCCATCTCCATGATCGGATGCAATTTTTGTCAAAAAAAACTACGATTATATTCTTCCTCGATCAAGAATTTGTAGAGGATAAAAATACTTCAAGAACAAACGAGATCTGCAAAGAAAACCTAATCCTAACGCAAACCAAATATCTACCAAACAATCACGCTATGTGTCGGTTGAAAGAACATCCTGCCGTCCACGTGTCATATGTTTTGGACGTTGATTTGATTGATCCTCGGCTTCCTTTTTGGGGTTTGACCATGGTTAGTTAACGGGCCTAGCTTGTAACTCCGGTTAGATTAGATTGTATCGATTGGGTTAATATCTACATAACACTACCCTTTGGTTTGTTTTATCTCAAAATTGCCCCCATCTTACTAAGGGGCTGTTTGACGGTTGTTGAATTTGATGCAGAATAATTATGTGATCATAATGATTAAGAGTCTATCATGATATAGTGTAAAATGAAATATAATAGTTTGATAATTGTTTACAATAAAATTAAGACGCTGAATGGTTAAGGAAGACCTAGGATACAAAATCATTCAGATGGTTTTAGAACCATTAAGAGGTAGACTTTTTTTGTCAAACAAGATTCACCTCTTAACGATTCAAATGTTGTCTCTTAATGAAACTATTAAAAGATAAAAAACAACCCCTAAATATGTATTTGTATCTACAAATACATCCAAGATTTTTGTCGAGTGGTGCACTTTTAAAAGCCCTTAAAGTCACCCCATTTTTCGTCTAATTCCATCAACTTTTAGTGATTTTTAAGTTTTTTATTTTATTTTGAGAAAATTTTTCGGTTCTTTTGTTGATTTCAAAAGACTTTTCTGTTTTTAAGTTTATGTGTTATATCTATACCATATTTTAAACTTCTTGTAATTAACTGCAGATAAATATTTATTTTATTTTTTAAAATATCTAAAATTATTAATATAATTAACCGATAAACACAAGAAAATCTTAAATACATGTTTTTATTAAAGTATTATTATCTTTTTAATTTTAAATATAAACTATTTTAAATATAATTACCATTTAAATTAATTGATATTTGACCCCTAACTAAATACTTTATCATTATTTTTATAAAAAAAATCATAATTAAACTAAAAAATATATTTTTATTTTAAATCTAGCTTTTTCAAAATCGTAAAACAAAATCGAGAAAGACTAACAACAAAACAAAGTATGAAACATCATTGAGGTTATAGATTTCAAAACCTCGTTGCATTGTACATGTACACTTCTAGTATTTTCCAATATCCAAAGGCACACCTCAAAGGATGTGCCTTTCATACCCTGGAAAAATTTGTACTTGCAAAAATCAATTGAACGCGGATACGTAAGTCCCTGATATATCCACCCCTATTGATATATTCTAGATGTGTATCTATACAATGCTACATGATAACAAAACCTTAAATGGAAAATTAATTCAAACCCCCCCCCCAAAAAAAAAAAAAAACATGTAACAACCATTAAAGATGGTCGAACATAACCGTTTATGCCGAAAGGGACGGGACCAACCTAGAATTGGGATCAATAGGCCCCGGTTAAGACAGGACCGGTTAAGCCCAATTACAAAAGAAATTGAAAAACCTCGGGGCCGGATCAGACTGAAATTTTGAGGGTAGGTCTAACCTGAAAAAGACAAATAAAACCTATTGGGCCCATTTCAACCTCAAATAGCGATGGCTAAATGGGCTCGGGACTACCGGAGAACCGGAACCAGGACCGGACCAGCCCAGGACACATGGCACTGTATGGACGATTCCCAGGTTTGGCTCTAAGGACATAGCATTTGCCCCCATATGGAGAATATTGGGGGCAAATCAAGACCCATATCCATGTTCCAGCTTCTAACTACTAGACGGATTCAGTCATTTCGACAAGCGAAGAAAGAGCACCTGATCACATCTTGTTTAAATGTTTTCTTTGATGATATCAAGTTACATCAATCTACTATTAAATACAAGTGTCTACAAGCATAAGAACTGAAAGTAGTTCTCCACGTGGAACCCACCCCCTAGGAACCACATGTGAGGAGGCAACTCAACGGCTGAGGCTAGCGGAGGGGTTCAAGCCCACCTCCCACATGATTCGAACTTGAACCTGTTGTATGTTTGAGCAAATTCACTCCGCCCTTTTGTCCCCCTTTGCCAACTGAGCTACACGCTGACAATAGCTAGATTATAAATCATGATAAACTTGTGCAGTATTTTCTTGGATATTCAGGCTCAGATTCTGTAAGGCGCTTCATCATAAAACGGTTTTAACCGTTCGGACACCAACGGGTAATATTTCCGGGACCCTTTTGGATGGCAAAAACTTGTTTGCTTGGTAGGCATGAACTTTGTTCCTGTATCACTAGTGAAAGTATCTAAACCACAATCTTTACAAAAAGATTCAACATCAGATTCCTCCAAGAGCAGGTGTTTAGATAGGTCTGCAAGTGGGTAAGGATGAAGCTTGTAACCTCCGTAATTCAAGCACGACAATCCTGTTGCACGAATCTCAGAAATGTAGGGTTCGATGATATAATACTGCAAACACGATGCTTCAGCTTCGGTAGTATGAAGAAAACGTTTATAGTTGCCAAAACGGAAGTACCTTAAGAGCCTGCGGCTGAACATCATTTCCTTGGACTTAACAATGGAATAAGGAAGACTACGGAACCATAAAGATAACGACTCTCCTGTTGGCTGATGATCGGAACCCAGATGGAGAAGCACAAAAAACGAATAGAATTTGGCTTCGTTTGCATAACTTGGGTTGGATTTACGATTTTCGTCATACAAATGATATAAAGATGCCAAGGCCTTTGTAAGCTGTTCCAAGTTGAGGTAATGCATAGGAGAAACATTTGAATCGGTGGTATTTCTTCGAAGTTTGTAATGAGAAACGATATGAAACTCTACAATCCTTTCAAACATGCGGATAGATTGATCCCCGGATGTAATACTTTGCATACTGAGGTCCTGCCTTATGGATCTCGTTCTATCGAAAATGAAGTCATGAATAACTTCAAATGGATGGCTTCTGGACTTGAAAATGGTTAGAAGATAATTCAAGGTGTCTTCTAATACGGGAACGGGCCGCATATCTACATCCCGTATGTCTTTCGTGGAGATGGTTCTACAGAACTTTTTAACAGCAAGCGAAGAAGATGATTTTGTCGGGTTCCCTTCTAACCTCTCAAAGATGGCTAAATCCCTTAATCGCTCACGTTGGACCCTTTCATCAACCGGGCACATGAAAGGGCAAGTTCCAATCAAATTCGGGAGGCTTTCGGAATCATTATTGTCTTGTTTGTCATTAATCCCGAAACTGCTTGTTTTTGAAGTAGTAGTAGCATAATTCGAAGTCGTTGAAGGTCTGGAGTCGTTTGATCGAGCAAAAGAGGAAGACGAATGGTTCCCTCTTCCCCTCCCCCTCCCCCTCCCCCACCTTCCATGCTGAGGCTGCCATCTCTCCATAAGGTAAAATCCCTAAGCTGAAATTGTGTAAAAACATATGAAAAAGATATCTTCAAAACATGTGAATATCCACAAATATTCCTTGTTTAATCGTTCTTTCTTGTAAGAACATACAGTATACATCACAGGGGCGGACCTAGTGTATTGGATACGATGGTACGGACACTCAACTCAGAGAAGAAAATAGAAGGCAGTGGAAGTATTTGTGTACGAATTTATTTCGTAATCCAATTCAGAGCAACAAAAAATCAATTATGGAAGCAAGGAATTCAATTTCACAGTTTGTAATGCATTCATATCAGCAACAAGTACACAGAATTTAGCAGGGAGGAATTCTAGTTTATGAAGATGGAAGAAACATACATCTCGTGGTTCAGAAGTCAGATTTCTCAGCAGGTCCAAATCAAAATCATGAAGATCAGGATCATATATGTATATGTATATATCTACGATCCTCTCAAGATTTGGAATCCATCTTCTAAATCTTCGATCTGTAAATTGGTATCAGTTCAGCTTCAAACTTCACCGCTTAAATTGTAGATCTCGTCAATCTGCAAGTGTATCAGATCCAATAATTCCAGAGAATCTCCACTTTAGGGTTTCAGTTTACAAATCCCAATCTTCTTCCTAAACTATCCGTTGACGACGACGACGACGTAGAGGGATTATTGGGCCTAATTTCTTTTTGCTTGGATTGGTTCACAAAATCTGGCCCTTTCAAGATTCTCGTTTTAAGTGGAATAAAAGATGTAAAATGATCCCCCTTAACCGGGTCGGTCTTAAATCGGTATACCCATTGTTATACTCACTGTGATATCTAGAGATGGCTAAAAATCAGTCCCGGGCCGGGCCGGTCCTAATCAGTCCTAAACTTTCTCATAATCGGTCATAACCGATCCCGACGTAACCGGTCCCGGTCGAAAATGATAAGACCGATCAAAGTACTTCATAACCGGTTATGGGCCGCCGGTCCCGGTCCCAAACGATTCTTGCTGGTCGGTTATATTTCACACCTTCAGACTAATGAAATTGGGCCAAAAAGCAAGTATACAATACGGCCCAACGTCGCCTTTCCAAGTAATAAGTGGTACAAGTACCGGATTATCGTCCACAGAGATTGTAGCCAAAGTTAGATTAGAGTCCAATGAAAGATATGATTTCAGAAGACGATTTTGAAGACTTTTCTTTGATTTTAAGGTTATCCAAAACAGAATACAGAATATATAAAGGAAGCAAGGGTGTAAGACTTAAGGTGAGACCCAAACACAAATTCCAGCAGCCAATGCTGTAGCAATGCTACAGCAAGCAGTGTTTCGAAACTAAATTCCACCATCTATTTTGAAAGCATTCCTCTCGGACTTCACCATTGCACTATCTTATAGCTTTCYACCCATATCTCTATGTGGTGTCCGGACCGGGGATAGTGACACGATGGTGTTTTCAAAATATATGGAAAAACAAATCACTTTGTTAAAAATCACTCTCTCGAGYCGATTCCCATATCATTCGAGTTGGCGTGTTCTTGATATTTCATCTCTGAATATATCACACTTTGACACTTTTGACAAGCGACCAACCCGTCGGGAGTTACGTTTTGAAAAACATAAATGACAAGTCTCTTTGTCGGCAACTTTCTCAAGTCTACCTCTTATGTCATCCAAGTTGACGTGCTTATTGATGGCTTATCTCTAAGTCCATCGCACTTTAACACTTTCAAGTGATCAACCCGTCAAGAAGTGTGCTTGGATTTATAAAAACTCGAATGAAACAATGAAACGTCGTTTACGAAACACTTAGCTACTTTTGTTTGGTTAAAAATCTCACATTTCCGTCTTACACCCAAGCTATAAAAGCTTAGCTACTCATGACGGAAAGTAAAAAATAAATGACGTAAAATAAAGACATAAAATAAATTGCAGAAATGTAAATGACAATAAAGTAAATGACGRGAATGTAAATGACGARAATRTAAATAGCGTAAAATAAATGACGGAATGTAAATAACGTAATGTAAATGACGGAAATGTAAAAATTAATAGCGGAAAATAAAAGACAAGAAATTAAATAAATAACAAGATGAAGATGAACTTTGAAGAACTTGAAGAAGGATGAAAAGAAAAGAAAGAAAAGTTGGGAGGAAGTGGGAGGAGATTAGAGAGAATCCAATGGATTTCTCAATTCAAGTGTGTGTTACAAAGAAGCCTAAGCCTCCTATTTATACCCAAAATGGATACAAAAAGACAAAAAGTATCAAAGCTTAGAGGCTAAGATAACTTCAAA